CCCCAAAACCCCAAAACCCCAAAACCCCAAAACCCCTTTGTAAAGATTTCATTGAAAATTATCTATAAATTGTTCTTATAGGCTTTCAGATCTCGTCTTGAACTTGACCCTGATTTAAGCTTTGATGGAGCAGTAAATTTAACCCCTTGCCTGGAATATGTTGAATCTATGAGAATAAAAGTGGGGTGATACCTCCATGCTTTTCAGTCTTATTCCTCTTATGTACAACCACAGATGTCCTATCCTTCTTAGAGGATACATTTTTCTATAAAATTTCAGCAAACTATTTACTCTAAAACCATCTGAAATATCTGGAGCTGAGGAGTTCTTAGTGATCCGATATTTAGTTCCAGATTTTGAACTGAAATCCACTTTCGGAGTAAGCACATTCTGTGACTCAAACTTTCTCTTAGAGTATTCTGAGTTTCCGGTCTTGGGCTTATCCAATCGATCTTTGTTTTTAGGAGTAATCTCGATGATCTGATTGCTTACATCCTTTCTTCTGACCATCGAGGAGACTGTCTCTGGTTTATCAAGCTAGTTTTAACAACTGAACTTACTTTACTGAGAAGTCTGGAGAAGCTAGCCCCCATCTGAGGCCCTTTCTTGTAAAGCTCTTTGAAAATATATTTATTCTTGTTGAAATCGTTGGATGTCTTGGGCATGATCTTCTCTGGTGAGTCTTCTTTCACCCTGTTGCAGGAGAAACATCTAGGAGAGATAATGTGGGGTCTTACTTGTTATTGGTTACAACAAAGGGCGACTTGTAATTATCATCTTGGTTATTTTTCGAACAGAAATCTGAGTTTTAAAAGATGGGCTTACCTTCAACCTCTTTTTCTAGGGTATTTAGTTTTTTATTCATTCTTAGCTGGAGTCTTTTGTGTTCATCTCTGTCTATTTTGTGGGTGATCAAACTCATCACTTTCTCGTTAATTTCCTTTTGAAGAGTTTCTAACTTCTCAGCATTAGTTTTAGAGTGAATGGTTCCTTTGAGCTTTGTAATTTCATTGTCATATTGACTCTCAGATTTTAGAATTAAAGTTCTGAGCTCTTCAGCCATTTTCCTTTGCTCTTGATCAAATTTGCCTAAAAATATAAATTACAAATTTACCATAAATATTTTGATTTTTGAACTCTTGAAGCTCACGCAAGTTCTTTTCATAACGATTAAGTGAAATCTGATGCTTCCCAATAAGCTGCTTCATTCCCATAAACTCTACATTCATGATTCTATGAATATCTCTTTCTCTAGCTCCTTTCAACACAACATTGCTCGGCTTCTTCCCCTGCGCTATTTCTATCGCAGACTGCTCGACCATCTGAGTCGCGTATTCCCTCTCCTTCATCTTCTCCTTCAAATCATCAATCTCAGTTTCCAGCTTAAGGTACAGTGCATGTATGGCATCAATCTGTTTCTTGGTCACAACATCCATCTTCGACCCTAAAACACCACTTAAAACACCTAGAACCTACTTCTTCTCTTCGGGGATGCCTCCCCGTCCTTCTCCTGGTCGTCATATTCCAGATTAATTTCGTCTTTGATGTCTTCATCATCGATGGATTTTAAGTCAAAAGCGTGCTTTTGGAGTAGAGTGAAGAGCTTATCAATCTTTATTTCTAACACTTTGTTCTTGTTTTTGTATTTTTCTATCTCTTCGGCCTCGTCCAGGAATTTTTGGTACTCTTCGTCGTATCGGGTGATGCGTTTGTCAAAATCTTCCATCCTGTTGTCGTATTTTTCGAAGTTGAATTCTGTGGGTTATGAGGAGGGTTACCGATTCTGTCTTTTATGGAGAGGATGTCGTCGGTTAGCTCTTTCATGAGATTTGCAATGCTGTGGCTTCCTAGAGGGGTTATGGGTGATCCTACCGATGTATTGCTTGATTATGTTGTTTAAGTTGGCTTCGAGATTGTCGATTACAGATTTATCTACCTTGTTAGCCATCTCTTTTTCAAAGTAAGCTAGTTGGTTCTCGAAGGATTTTATGTCCGAAGCGTATTGGTCTATTTCGTTATCAAAGTTTTTCTTGAGATTTTTGACTCTTTCTTCGATTGTTGACTTTAAATTGGGACTTATGGGTTCTCCCTCTATTGTGCCAGCTCTGAAAAGAGTTTTTTCATGATCTTTATTTACTTGTGTTATTCTTAAGATCATTAATTTCAAATTTTAAGTTGTTTATTGCGCTTTCAAGGACCCTAATTTCTTGTGTTATCAGACCACCATTTCTACTGGATTCGTTAAATTTATTAGGAATTGTTTGGGAGCAGAACTTCTCTATTTTCTCCAAACGTCCATCGATATTGGAGTTCCATTTCAGAAGGTCCTTCTCTGGTGTCGGACTTTTGATAAAGTTGAACCTAGCTTTTCCAAGTACATCATCCTTGATTTTGAAGACTTTGAACTCTAGTGAATTAGATCTCTTTCTTTGTTTAAAATTTTTGACGAGAACACTGGTCTTTTTCTGGCCAAATTTGATATTTGCCATTATTTTGTCTTTATAAATGTCTAACTCTTCAACTATTTGTTTGTACCGACTGTAGAGCTGGTGCAAGACCATATCATTATGCATTATATAATTCTTAGCATCGATTTTTTCAAAAGAAGTAGACCCAAATCCTTTAGCTTCTTCAATCCTTTTATTATGATTGGTGCTATTGAAGAGCTCGTCCCTATCTTTGAGGCCAAGGAAGCGATCAAAGGATGAGGAGCCTCCTCCTACTTTGATCTTAGTATCTAGTAGAGAGAATTTCTCCTCCATTTCTTTGCGGAGATTCTTGATTTCACCATCCATTACCTGAGAAAGAGCTGTAGCTTTCTTCTGTTTCTCTTGAGTAGTCATCTTTTTGGCAAATGAAATATTTTTAGAATCTTTGTCATCTTTCATAGGACTGAGGTCTTTGGATTGGAAGCCACTCAGAGTGGACTTAAGGTCTTCGATTTCATTCTCGATATCGTCAATGGAGCCGAGAGCTATCATAACTTTGTCTTCAATGGGTTTACACTTCTTGTACAGTCTATTTTTCAAAGTTGTTCTCAAGTGTCTTGATTTCCTTCTGTACATTCTTTATTTCATATTTGATCTTGTTTTCTAATTTTCTTTCTGTCTGTTTTGTAACATGCATATCTTTTTCAAGGGTTTTTATACGATCTTCAAACTTTAGATGCTTCTTTTCAGTATCTATGATCTTGACTTGGATGTTATTTTAGGCTAAGCTTAGTTTCAATAGCCTGGTCTTCAAGAGTCTTGATGCTTTCAGCCATCCTGGCAAGCTTGGGGTTCGCCTCGAGGGCTCCAACTCTTTTGTTGAGCTGTTTGTTTTGATTATGCATGTAACGAAGAAGAGAGTCGAGATGCTCTAAATCTATTTTTATGGTATTTTTCTTAATGCTGTTAACTTTCTTTTCCATTTCATCATCTCTCATGATGGAATCTGCATTTTTACTATAAAAAATGTAAAATTACAATAGGAAATAAATAGTTGGTCGATTCAAATAACTAAGAACTATTTTGGTAACTTCTCTTAGAAATCTCTGATCAAAAATAGAAGTAACGACATACTTTTGGTTCATATTTTATTTATGAATGATTCAATTATAACAATTTAATTAGGGGTTTTGGGGTTTTGGGGTTTTGGGG